TATCAAGGCGACACCGGTTCCTATTGGTGCGCCATAGCCCGCGTCAGGGAAGGCAAGATCCCCGGAAAGGCTCGCGGTGATAGGTGTTGGTACTCATATGCCGGCAAGGAGCACTACACCAAAGACTTCGAGATTATGCGCGGCCAGAGCTTGTCTCGCACTGTGGATGGCGCAGAGCCGCAGGGAAAGCAGCTCGACAAGCACGGAGAGCTGTGGTGCGCGGTGGCTAACTCCTACTTTGGCAGAATCCCACAAAAAGCCAAGGACGGACGCTGCTGGTTTCCGTATTTTGGCCAAGAGCATGTGACCACGGACTTTTTTTACGTCTCCTGAGCTCGCGGCGTGGGAGTAGGTGGCTTGGGTGGGCGTCGGGGCTGCCGAAGCCTAAGGTGCAGGAGTTGGGCATGAGGAGAGCTGCCGAGCAAAAAGTGAGCTACTGCAGGCAGAATTGTGTAGCTGGTTGTCGTCGGAGAGAGAGTTGGCATGAGCTGAGTGTAATGCTGTATGTGCGGCTCGCCAGTTTGTGTTAGGGCCGTCTAGGGCTTAGGGATTGGGCGTGTGCGTGGAGAAGCTAGGCTGCTGTGCATTCTCGGCTTCGTGGGCAGTGTGGTCCACCGTCATCTTCTTCCCGGGGCAGATCTGAGGCTGTGTGTCAGAGTCCGTTGCGCAGTGAAGCTAAATGCCGGAGCTTGCTGCTGGCATTTCGGATGACCCTCGACGCGAGGGATGGCCGTGCTTCCGGAAGCATGTCACGCGGGCGCGCGGCAACCAGCATGCTGCGTGGATGACCTGCCAGAGATGGGCCCTGAGGACGAGCTATGTGACGAAGGCCGCGGGGCACGGACAGCGTCGAGCTCTAGGCATCGCTGCCGAGATTCTTGAGACGGCGCTCGCGGAATTGCAGGATGTAGAGAGCCCAGAGGACTGCACGGAGAAGATTGTGACGGGCAAGATCATGGAAGTGAAGGGGCGACAGCTTCAGGCAAGCGGAGGAGGGCTGGACTACTGCGTGAGACCGGGCACCAGCGTCCCGGCCGCAAGGAAGTCCGCCGAGGGGATGGGGAATCCCGTGGCGGCCGCCAGTGGAGAGGCCGATGGTCCGACTTCGACATGGCTCAGCCGACACCGCCCCGCTGCCGGCAGGGCAAGAGCCGCAAGCGTGCCGCCGTCGGTGAAGACGGAGGACCTACGCCGAGAGACAGGCGGCGCTGATCAAGAGTGGGAAGAGCTGGACAGGCTGGAGGTTGAGCTCATGGAGCGCAAGGTCAGGCTCGGCGCAAGGCCGAAGCAGCAGCCGCACCAGCGGCGGCTGGCAGCTGCCGGCGTCTGAGCCCTCTGTGGCCTCCTGGCTGCGCGACAGTGTTCTTGGGCGTGGCTAGTTGGCAATCCAGGCCGAAGGCCGGGATCTGGCAGCTTGTTCTGAAGTGGAGTGCGGTCGCCTGAGACTGACCAGCCTTGGTCCTGGCTAACGCCCAGTGAATGTGCTAATGCAAGTGAAGCGACCTGCGCAGTCAAAACTTGTAACTCACTGCTTCTCATGATTTGTGGGATTTGCGGTCGTTTGAAGTTGTGTTGTGAGCTGAGCTTGCAGCATGTATTTGCGCTCCGGCTCAGCTGCGTTCGGTTTGTGTCAGATGTGTTTCGCAATGTTTCTCCCGTGCCCCGGTGCCAAATGAAACCTTGTCAGCAGTAGTGGTGAGACGAGGCAAAATCGGCTGCGACCTCATGAAACTTCTCCGGGAGTCGGACAGCAGTTTGCGAAGTGATGGGGACGTGCGAATCCGGAAGCTGCCTTTTGCTTCTTGTCGATGCGCGCTGCTCCGGCAAGTGTGGAGAGTGGCTGCGTGGGGGGGGGCGAGTGCTATGAGCCCGCAGACCGGTGGCATATTGTGAAGACTGGGAGCCAAGTCGAAGGCCGGGCGTCGGCGAAGCTTCTCGGCGATGCGTGCTACTCTGGCAGCTGTGGAGACTGGCCGCGTGTGGGGGCCAGCACTATGAGCCTCCTGCGTGCTGCAGACCGCTGGCATCTTGTGAAGACTGGGAGCCAAGTCGCAGGCTGGGCGCCCACAAGAATCAGTTCTTCGTCTCGTTAATCCCGCCCACCCAGGAAGGAACGGTCGCGAGTACGACCTCTTCCAGGCAGTTGGCCGACTGCCGGCGAAAGAACGGGGAGGCCGGTCTACCCAGGAGGGAACTCAGCCAAGACTACGACAACACCTTCAACGCAGTAGCCGACTGCAGATTGTGGGGAGGCATGCGCAAACGTCAAGGTCTCGTGCATGGTCTCGTGACAAATGTCACAGCTGGCCAGTGGCACCCTGCAACACACTGCGCCAACATCACGAAGAGTTGAAGCTGTAAATGTGAGCGCCTCGGCGTCAGCATCATGCAGAGAGAGTGTGTTGTGCAATTGATGAAGCTTTGTGTTGGCAGGTGGGTTGACATAAATCCCCTGCATCATTCTAGGATTACAATTTATCAAGGACGAGCAACGGCGGCTTGGCGGTGGCGAGGTGGAGCTGGTGAGAAACTGCGTGCAGTACTACCAGGCGAGCAATTTGGATGGGAAGCCCCACGAAGTTCTGGCTTGGTTTGCAAACTGCTTGCTGCGCATCCGATGCAATTTGGAGAGGCAGTTCGTTGACCCGGACGCAACCTTGTTGCCATCTACGTTGCCAGCAGCTACTGAGTGCGCGGCTCCTGTGCATCCGAACCGGGATGTACTTGTTTGGGAGCTGGAGGATGCTGCCAAATTTCTTTCTGAGACCAAAGAGTTTCACGCGGCGCACTGGCATTGGTTGGGATCTTTGTTCGGGGAAAGCCTGGCAGTTTTGAAGTTGGAGGTGCAGAGAAAGATCCACAAGGCAGATCAGGTCGAAGGCCAGATCAGACTGGACATCGAGCCTGTCGAGAAGACCCGTCGAGGCAGGGCTTCTGCAAGTCAACTTGACCATCGTCTGTGGATGCAACCGGCCAGCAGGATGCAACCGGCCAGCAGGTTGCAGTTGTGACGAGTGTCACACTCAACTGCATTCGGTTTGGACCAGATGTGTTTCAAAATGTTTCGTAATTCCAGTTTTTGAGGTCTTCCATTGCAAGGGATGGAAGTGACATGTGCCGCACTCAGCTGCATTCGGTTTGGACCGGATGTGTTTCAGTTTCTTGAGGTCTTCGATTGCAAGGGATTGATGTCACATGTGCCACGCTCAGCTGCATTCGGTTTGGAGCAAACGTGTTTGACAATGTTTCGTAATTCCAGTTTCTTGGATCTTCGATTGCAAGGGGTTGATGTCACACGTGCCGCACTCAGCTGCCTTCGGTTTGCATCAGATGTCTGTCCACATGTTTCGTTATTTCAGTTTCTTCAGGTCTTCGATTGCAAGGGATTGATGTCACATGTGCCGCACTCAGCTGCATTCGGTTTGGACCAGATGTGTTGCGCAGCAGGCGGGAGTAGGCGTGCGCCCAGGCCGAAGGCCGGGGTTGCGTCCAGTCCGAAGGGCGGGACTTGTAGACTGCGTGTTTTCTTTTATTGTTTGGCGAGCGGCGGGTAGTTTTTGTTGTAAAGGCAAGCGCGGCTGCTCGAGAGTGACCAGCTCTGATTGGCTGTGGCCATCGCAAGTGCCGGTGCAAGTGAAGCGGCAGTCGAAGTCGAAAGACCGAGCCCACTGGCTTCCACCAAGGGCGGGGATTGCAGCTTCGTGGAGTTGAGTGTCCGGCTTTTTGATTGCATGCGTGTACTGTGCCTGGCCCGCTCAGGTTCGAGCCCTGCCAGTTTGGCTGACTCGGCGTAGTTTTTGTCGGCCCGGCCATGAGGCCTGAGTGCGCGCCCATCTTATCCTTGGCTGACAGCACAGCGGTGGGCTTCGGTGACAAGTACGGCGTGCAGCTTGTGGATTCTTCGAGCAGGCGTCACTGTGTCGTCTGGTGCTGCGGTGGGTCTCTGGTGACCGGCTCCTGTTGTGCTGGGCGAGACGCTTCCGAGCGTGGCCAAGCAGCTCGTGTGGAGGCAGATTGCCACGCGCCTCGGATTCCCGGATGTGACAGATTTTCTAGCTCAGAGGCTGGCGGTGAGCCTTGTGGCGGGACGCGGAAGCGTGCCGGAAGGCACTGCGATCTATGGCGACCTGCATAAACATCGCAGCAGTTGGCGCGTGCGAGAGACGAGCAAGACCATTTTAGACACGCAGGACAGCTGGGCGCAGGACAGCGAGCCGTTCTATCGGCGTGGCCTGCACTTCTGTGGCGGCAAGGATCGACAGCGCCGAGTTTATTGCCACGTGATCGAGGAGGCGGCGAAGTTGGCTGTGGGCCCGGGCACGACGCGCGCAGAGGACGACACGGTGGACTGCGACCTGGCGGTCGTCATCTGCTGTTGGTGGAACAACGTTCCGAAGACCGGAGACAAGTGCGCTCCTATGCATCGGAGAAGTTTGGTGAACTTGTGCTCGGAGCTGCAGCTTTTGCGTCACTGGGAGCAGGACGCCGTGGACATGAGGACGTTGTTGCAGATCGCCAGCGGCTGGGCGAATGTCTGCAGCGAAACGAGCCTGTGGGCAAGGAGGCACGATGAGAAAAAGATTCCCTTGCGGTGGCTGCCGCGACGGCTGGTGCAGACATACTGTCGGGAGGACCATCGGGTGCGCACGCACGCCGGCTACTTCGCGAGAGAGTTCGATCGAACCTTTGTCGACGATGACCAGCAGTATGCAGAGTTTTGCAAGTTTGCCTCTACGCAATCTGTGAATCTTTTTCGAGAATACATCAAGCCGTGCCACCGCGCCGATGTTTGGCGCTACCTGCATATGTACCGCCGCGGTGGAGTATACCTGGACTTCAAGTGCGGATTGCTTCAGCCGCTCTGGAGCTGGCTTCTGGAGCTACAAAACGCTTGCATGCAGCATGAGCTGGGCCGCCAGGGCGAAGCCCGGGCAGGCGCTCAGTGTCCTCCATTCATGGTGACGTCCTTGCGCACATTCAGCCACAAATACGTGTGTCAGGGCTTGATCATTTGCTCCCCGCGGCACCCGCTGCTGGCTCGGGTGCTGGGAGAGGCCATGATGACTCCGCAATCCGAGCTTGCAAGCAAGGTGAAAGGCAAGGGGTACCTTACTTTCTGCAGGCAGTTTTACCAGACGCTGCAGAAGGGTGCCCAGCTGAAGAAGTTAGAGCCTGGCTGGGTCGACGCCGGCCCGTATGGCTGGGTGTGCCTTCTGAAGGAGGACAAGCTGGTCACCGACAAAGCCCTCCAAGTGATGCAGTTGACCAAGCCATTTTTAGACACGGACGACCAATTCGTTTCGCTGCCATTTGACGGCCACATAATCCACAGCGGGAACAAGCATCCCGCGCAGACGGAGCATTGGCTGCTGGCTACGCGATGTTGGGGCTGGAACCAAGGTTGGAAGGAGGATCGCACGCGGGCCGACACGGCTTTTCATCAGGCAGCCAAAGGTCACCGCGCGCAGGCGAGCGCCGCGCAGGTGGTCGCTTGCAGACCTCTAGACGGAGACCTGGCGGTTGCCGGCCGGGTTTCTAATCTTGTGTGTTGCAAATAGCGTTTCGAGCGGGGGTGACTATTTTTCATTGCTCGTGAGGAGCGCCTGGCTCGCGTGGACACAGTGGCGCGCAAGGTGATGGAGCTCTACACGAATCAGAAGGACAAGACGGAGTACAACGATCTGCAGGTGCAGTGCCTGGTGGGCCAGGGGCTGGTGTTTCCGCAGGCCTACGATGCCCTGACATGCGTATGGTGCCGCAAGCAAGAGAAGCTCTTCAGGCTTCAGTCGCTGGCGGCAGTGTTTCAGCACTTCGAGAGCCAGAGTCACGTCAGGTCACAGGACGACGGCGGAGTCACTCACACGCATCCCGCCCCGCAAGAGCAGCAGCCGCAGGTGGAGCAGGAGCAGGAGCCGACAGACGAGGAGCCAGTCAACGACCCGGCGAGCTCCGGTCTGGAGTGGTCGAGCGACAAGCGTCTCCCCACCAGTGATGAGCTCCTAGAACTCTCCAAGGAGCAACAGGAAGCAATTTTGGGTGGATCGGGCGATTTGTCCTTCAATATGTTTTCGTGGATTCGAGCTCTCGTCAGCATTGTGTACGACTTCAACGAGGGGCTGCCGCAGTACTGTGCAGAGCAAGTCCTCGTTCTTTCGAACTGCGTGCCTGCAGAGTTTCAGCAGACCCTTCAGCACCAAACCACCAAGCAAGGCACGTCATGGCGTGAGTTTATTTGCAGCCTCCAGAAAACCACTCCCGTCACCAAGAATCCGGTCCTCTTGAAGTTTCGTGGAAAGCGTGTGGAGGAGGAGGTGCTGTCAAGCCAGTCCAAGCTGTTGGGGATTGGCTACTCGTTGCTCCAAGCGGCGCTGGACGCATGGGCTGTTGCGGCGGGCCACGACAGCAAGTTCTGGGAAGCGTCGGACGTTTTCCTCATGATCGCCAATTGCCAGGCTATCAAGCGAGAGCAATCTCTACGCAAGGATGCGCGGTTTCCGGACAGCAAGTTTCGGATCTTGCGCAAGTTGGCTGACGGCAAAGAGGTGTTGGCCTTCCGCGTGGTTCCCACTGCTGCCCGGCAGTTCGACAACCCAACCATTAACCAGTACTATAACGGCAATAGTGTGAAGTTGCATCGAGCGGTGGTGCAGTCGCAGAGCAGTCACAACCCGCAGCAGCAGCCAGCCAAGAGACAAAGACACGGTTTTCCCGAGGAGCCATGGTCTTGTCTGCCTGCTTGGCGCTCCGGCTGGCATTATGGCTGGCACAGCGAGTGGGAAACCGGGTGGCAAGACGGACAGCACTCCGGGTGGGAGAGCGGGTGGCAAAATCGCTGAGAGCCCGACGTCAGGTCCAAGGCCAGACGCGTGTCTAGGTTGTCTAGCTGGCTTCCGCGTAGTTGATGCTTCCATGGCTGAAAATTGGCCGTGTCCGTGACCCTAGAATTAGGGTCACATTGCGTGCCCTGCTTGTAAGAGCATGGAGTGTTCACCAATAGTATTCTGCGGTTCGCAGCGGCAAAGAAGCTTGGCACAGGTTTTGCGCGCACTTCACAGCAGCCTTTCCGCAGCCAGGCGTTGCGCGCAAGACATTTGTTGCAAGGCAGCAGTGTTTGTGCAATTTTGGGTCAAGAAGTTTCGGACGGATGCTAGCTCTGTAGCCTGTAGTCTCATGTGCGGCAGACCGGCGCAGTCCCATGTGCAGCAGACCGGCGCATCGAGCTCAGCAGCTCCGGGAAGTGTGCTCAAATTTGAAAAGGCAGCTGAGGGAAACCAGCAGCTCGACAGATGCGAGCCCCAGGAGCGACGCGGCGCGTCGCCGGATCACTCCGCATCTTCGAAGGTGCATTCTGGCTTCGTTTGCCATGGGAGGTGTGGCGGCCGCGGAAGAGTTTGCTGGCGCCAAGTTGGGCGACGCTGAGCTAGCTGGACAGTGCGTCGCGGCGGCAAGTCTGGCTGACATTGGACGAGCTGGAAGCTCTGATGCACGAGACTGGAGGCTGGCCCGGAAGCAGGGCGCCAAAGCGGCGGTGGCGAAAGCTGTAGCCGCGTGCAACGCTGCTGGCCTCCGGCTTCGCTAGAGGTGCTTGAGATGTATCAGCGAATGCTTCCAGAAGACGAGCGGTTGCGAGGCAGAACCACTCGCGGCAGAAGACTCTGGACGCAGCGGTTTTGCAAGCAGTGGAAGTTCGTGCGTCGCAGAATTGGTCTGCATCAGGTGGAGCTGACTTTGGCGCAAAAGGGCACCTTGTCTTCAAGTCTTTCTTTTTGGTGTTTTTGTTATGCCTTTGAACATGTATTTCGTGACCTCTAAATCGATTTTGGGCTATAGTGAAGATTCAACTAGGCAGGATGGCTCCGTTTTTTTGCAGTGTCTGCAGCAGCAGTTGGGTCTGTCAGGAAGCTAGACTGCGCCAGTTTTTTGAGCTTTTTAGTGACGCCAAAAATGGGTACACTTTTTTGCCCCAAAAAGAGGGTCGTAATGAACTACCGCTAGCTCGTGGAGATGGTTGACCCACAAACTGGGTTCATTACTTGTGCTCAAGAATGGGTATGCAGGCACAAGTGTATTGGCAATGGCTCCGACACACTCAGCTGAAAGCTCAGCACCAGGGCAAGCCTTTGCTTTTGATTAACATCGACGAGACGCCGATTCCGTATCACATCAAGCCAGTCACAGGAGTCGTGAAGAAAGGATTTGGCGGTCAAATTGCAGTTTCAACAAACGAGAAGCGAGGAACGGCTTCGCTTTTGGCAACTGTCTGCAACCGGCCGTCTCTGCAGCATCTCATGCCTTGCTTTTTGCTCTGCAACACTCATCGTTTAGCGGTGCGAGTTCGCAATCGCCTGGTGTCGTGGAGTAATGGCGCCTCCATGATGCGCGTGGTGAGCCGCATCAATCGAGTGTGCGAGCCGTACAAAGAATTCTGCCAGCCAGTGCTGCTTCTGGACACAGCGAGTGCTCACATTGCGCCGGAGACTTTGCGCTTTGCGAGGGCATGTTGTTTGGAAGTCGTCATCATTCCAGCTGGCATGACGCCGCTGCTGCAGGTGGCAGACGTGTTTGTCTTTGCCTCTGTCAAGCAGCTTAAGTCAGGAGTTTCAGCGCATGAGAGTGACGCAGCAGCAAGTGACAGTGCGCGACTGGATCCAGCTTCTAGCCAGGGTCCCTGGCTGGCTTCAAGAAAAGTCCTGGACGGAGGCATTTGCAGCAACCACTGGCCTCGAAGGCGGGTGCTTGACCAATCACCTAGAAGCTCTGCAGATTTCTCACATTACCAACAGAGCGCGGCCTACGTTCCAGCAGCTGTGTTTGGTTTGGCCACGGACGCGCTTTGGCATGCAACATTATCAAGCACTGTTTGGAGGTCGGTATGTTGAGCACGCAGTCCGAGTTGAGTAGCCAGCAAATGTCGACAGGACGAAGTCCGGTCATTTTTTTTTGCGCTGCCAACAGCGAGGTTTGCTCGTTTGTTTCGCTACTGCAACGCTACTGTGAGTGAACATACCAGAGACGTGTCTGCGGGGGTCGCAATTCATCCCCTAAAACAGTGTTGCAGAGCAAAGGGCGACGGCGTCCGCCAAAGGCGGGTCCTGGTCGTCCAGTCCCACTGTGAGTTTCACTGGCTTGGGCGGAGTGCGTGCAGTGTGCGTCAGCGCGAAGCCCAGTGACGCTGTTGCGCGTCAAGCGTCTGCCCAAGGCAGGACGTGGCAAAGCAGGCTATGGCGCGAAAAGGATTTTGTTCGGAGTGACTGTTCAGGCAAGGCTTTGTTTTAGGCTGCCGGTAGCGTTAAGCACTAGGCGCAGGCACGGTTAGCAACAGCAAGCGGTCGGACAGCCATTTCAGTCGCATCTCAGCCTGAGCCTCGCCCACTGCAATGAATGTGGAGGAGATGAAGTGTCGTCGCACGGATCTGAAGCGACAGCTTCGTGAGCAGTCCAAGTTGCTGAAGTTGGAAATGCGGCGTCTTGTCTGATTGCTTTGTTCAGTATTGTTGTGAAAAGCCTGTCAGCCAAGGAAGAGACGTCGTCTCATCAGGGCTGCGGGGCGCTTGAGTGCCGCCGATCTCGAGTGGCTGATGACGCGGCAGCAGCCATCCACGACCGCGGCGGGGCAAGACGAGGCTCCGGTGGATGCGCAGCCAGCTGCTGAGCCAGGACAGGCAAGCTCCGCGACGGCAGGGCTAAGTCCGACTCCGAGGCGGCAGGGCGAAGCCCAGCTGCAGGAGGGCAACATTCCACTGCGGACGAGGCGCAGCCAGCCGCCGAAGAAGCTCAAGTTGCCTCTGATGTCGAAGACTATCAGAACGCAGCCGAAGAAGTGGACGACACCACCAACAAATGAGGCTGCGTGTGAAGCACATTGCCTTATTCTTGCGCAAAGCTCAGCCAAGCCAAGCTAAGCTGTAGCAAAACTGTGAGCTGCCGCCTCGTGTAAAACGTGAGCAGGTGTAACGCTACAGAATGCTTTAAATAAAGAGGGGGGGTATCTTTTTTTTTCTATAGCATTCTGTAGCGTTACAGTTGGGTTCGCGCCCGACATCACGAACAGTTGAAACTGTAGTTGTGCATGACCGCAAGCTTTTTGGCCAGAGCGGTGAGCAGGCTACCATTTACCTGCTCCAAGCAATGGCATGCCCATTTTGCAGCATGAACATAGCGCACGATGCCAGTGAAGCTGGGATCGCAGCGGGTGTGAAAAGAGCCTTCAAGATGGTGCACCCGGACCAGGCAGGCAGGCTGTGGCCACCGTGCGGTCCACTGCATTATGCGAGTCCGCTCAACTCAACCCAGCCGAAGTTTGTGGAGCTGGTGCAGCAAGCGCAACTGGCTGCGCTGCTGGGCCATTGACAACGGGCTGGCAGCTGTGCCATGCCCGGTGGCGGCTGCTGCCGCGAGCGCCCAACGGCAGAGAGTTCGCGAAGATCGGCCGCCGCAGCTGCCCGGCCAAGCGGCAGCCTCGAGCCAGGTGCCGAGTAACTTTCGTCGGCCGGCTGCTGAGTATTCACGAGCCAGCGTAGGCCAGACCGAAGATGCAGCTGCTGCTCAGCAAACTCGCGGGAGGACGGGTGAGAGCCAGACCGAAGGTCAGGCAGGTGGTGCGAACTACGATCACACATACCTGGCTGAGCGTCTACGACAGCACCAGCCTGCCTGGCAGCCGACAAATGAATATGGCTATGCTTATGATCCTTGGCATGTGCCAGAGCCGCGGCAGGCTCGCCCGCGTGATCTGTTTTCTTCGCCTCCGGCGTTTCCTTCGGCTCCGCCAAGCTTCCCAACTCCCGCGGCCTCTCCTTGTGCGCCGGCTGCGCCGGCTCAGCAGCATCCAACTTCTTTTTTTTTCACGCAAACAACTGCTGAGCCCCAGCCGCCAGCCTTCGAGACAAAGGCGAAAGCTCCCTGCGTGCAGCCGGCGCATCTGCCAACCAAGGCGCCGCCGCCATGTGTGCTGCGGCAGTTCCCACCAGGCGCCGTCATGAAGTCGCCGCCCCCCAAGCCAACTTCGGCCAGACGAGCGGATGAAAGAAGCTGCGCCCAACATGATCCGCCGGTAGGCGAGTCGTTGGATTTCCTAAATGTGACGACTACAGATTATATGATGATCAACATGACTTGTCGGGATCTGACAGAGACGACAGCATTTTATTGCACCGCGGCTCGGCTGTCATAGAGTTGACGAGGGATGTTTTGTTTTTGGTTGTGCGAGTTGAGCAATGGCCATGTGAGCCTTTAGCGACCAAGGACGATTCTCGCTACTACCGGTACGCGGTCGTCTGCCAGCAATGCCGCGACATGGATGTCACCAAAAAATTGCATCATGGGCGACGACGACTTGGTTCATCAGCAAGACATGGTCTCCCGAGGCTGGCGCCTGGGAGACAAACGGAGTTTGGTGGATTTGGTCGGCCTGCAGGGAATGGTGTTCTCAGTGGAGCTGCTGGATAGAGAAGGAGGCGAGATTCGTGCAAGCTTGTTCAACGAAGCTGCGGAGCAGCACTATGATCTCATGCAGTGCGGAAGATGCTTCACGCTGTGCAACGGCAGCGTGCGCCCTGCCCAGAAGAAGTACAGCGCGCTCAAGCATGGCTACGAGCTGGTGTTCGACGGCAGATGTCAGATACACATGGTAGACGACGACACTGACATCGGAGCAGTGAGCCTCGCCGTGCAGAAGATTGCTTCAGTGACACAGATGCCTGTGCCTAGCAGCGTGGATATCTGCGGAGTCATCGTTTCAGCGGAGCACCCTCAAGAGTTTCAGACCAAAGAAGGAAAAGCTTTAGTCAAGCGAGAGATCACTGTGGCAGACGACAGCGGCCACAGCGTGCTGGTT